TTATATTCTTATGAATGTTTTCTACGCAATCCATCAAGATCACAAAGAAAAATATCAAAGCATAAAGTATTTTGATATTGTTTTATTCTAGACATCTAGACAGTAGGTTCTCATAACAAGAAAGAAATGTAGAATTTTCTGTTTTTCCTTTGTAAAAGGTACTCCATTCAGAAAGGCCCTAATTAATATTTGATACAACTAAACGTAGAATATTTTCTTAAATAGTGAATAGAAAAATACTTTATTTTTCTATCATGGAATTATTTACTACAGAAATCCATTATTTTTCACTTATAATTAATTTTGCATACAGAGTCATTTGACAATAAACAGTTCTCATTCAGATAAACAGTTATATTATTGGTATGTCACCTAATCTGACTAGTCTCAAAAGTCAATAAGATGAGTGTGAATCTGTTAGGCTTTCTCCATTTATGAAATAAATGTACTTAGATGTCAATAAAAAGTGGTATACTACGTTGTTTATTCTTGAGTAATCATCAACCGTAACTTTACTAAAATAACATCATCTTATATATCTCAACGTTGTATGCACTACGTTTGAGTGACAAGCCACCAATAATCCCTGGGCTTAGATATAGTTCTGATTGAGATTTCTCACTAACCTAATCGATGGGATTCTCTTCGCAATACGAGTTACATAAATCTTTTATAATTAACTCTTCAGTGATTAGCCGTTGTAGAATTTTGGTTTCATTTTTGAATAGACGTTTTTTTCAAAAACGTTACAACAACACTTTACAGACTTAAGATGAGAATCTTTTCGACATTGGTGCATTTTACAGATTGTAAAATAAGGTTCCATAGGACCTAGGAAAAATTTTCTATTCAAAAGAATTATAAACTTCATGGAAGTCACATTTATTTTGAGAAAGAAGTACATATTGAGCTGCATTGATATCTAGGATTGCAGAAAAGATTACCTATTACATAAGAACGTTATTCTGTTTATCTATTAAGAATGTACTTAAGCTTATTAAGCTTAAGATTATATAAATAAACAAATACCTTGTTTGGTCTGAAAGATTTCTACAACTTTGTGCATAATTAAGAGTTATCAGACTTCACAGCAATTTTCACTGCTTTATTGTACAAAGCTATGATAAATGAATAATATAAACAATTCATTTAACTATTAAGTAGTAGTATAAAGTATTTGATAAAGTCGTTTAATGAATAAATGTTTTGTCATATTATATTATACCAGAGCATTCTATTCATCTGTAACACGTTTTCTGAAGTTAAATATGGTTAGTTTATTGAAATCGTTAGCAAATTCGGTGATAAGGTAATTTTTCTGTCATTTTTTTTTAAAACGAGCTTTTAATCCCATAACCTGATGAACATTGTAAACGGTTTACCAAAATTCAATCTTTAAATTTTAAGCATAAATTCATTAGGTAAATAATTACTAGTGTGGAGCAGTTTACTTAGTCACTCATTTACTAATGCATAATATATATTGTGAAAGCGGCTTTATATTGTAGTATATTTTTGATAGTAAAATAGATGAATTATCACTTGACTATGCCTACATTTATCATCTACAAAAATGAATCCCTTAATGTTTCAGAATGAATTATGTTTGTAGAAAATTATGGGTTGAGGATAAATCTGAACATACATTTTGATCAAAAAATATTGAAAAATTGTTGAAAGCAACTGTAATGCTCACTTGAATAACTTACTGAACACCTTATATTTACTGAAATGACTGTATAAGTTAAAAAGTGAAAAATCGTTAACAAATTATTCAAAATATAGTTAGCTTATAGCTACTGGTAACATTGAATCATCAGCGTGAGGAGCTCATATCCCAATAGAAATCGTCTGAGGAGAAAAAATTGTTAGATCCAGTGTTATTGTAACCCAAATTGTAACATCATATATATACATAAATGACGCAATGTTTCATCAATTCTGAATGAAGGTGATTTTCTGATATCTAGTGAGATAGCTTATAATATGTTCGTAAATATAACTCCTACCGATAGTGCAGATAAAGTTGTGAGTGCGAATATACACGAAATACAATTTTTATGGGTAACAGTAAGAATAGCGGGAGTGAGACAAATATAACCGATGTCATTATTATTATGTCCAAGCTAAATGAATAATTGACTGAAATGAGACTATTGCCAGTTGCCTACCGATTCAGTGATGTTTACCTCATGAACAGATAATGTAAATGATTTTAAAAAAATTAAAAAAATAAGAAGCCGTATAAAATAATTGCATGAGGAATAGATTTCTAGTTCTTTTTACAGTTATCGAGCTGATATGAAAGTAGCTTCCGGTGGGATGTTCAATAATGACACTTACTTTCCATGATTTCAAAATATGTATTCTCACGAGTGGAAATATCAAGACTGTAAATTTTTGTTATTTATCATGGAATATTGAACAACTTAATTGTCGACCACCTGAAAATGCGATTTAAATTCATCGCTAACTAACCCAGATAAAAGGTATCTAAGATACTTTATAAGATCACCGGACCAATGGCAAATCAATAAATATCTTTTATGCAACCTATACACACACATAATTCAAGTAAACTGAATTTTTTACTATCATAGACGAAATTTTGTGGGAGAAGTATACTACTAATAAGTAGTTTGTTACATCACGTAAAATTTAAAAAAAGTAAGTAAAACAAGATTTGTAAAGCAAAATGAATCCATTCTATTTTTAAGCTTCTCATCATTTTTAATTTCATCCTCTCGTACTTCGTGTTACTGGTTTCTTCAATAAAAAACAATATTTGCTTATCTTAATTCTAGGTTTGTATTATTATGACTTTTTAGGTTGTTTAGAACGTCTACTTCAACTTCATTAATTACTATATGAAAAGAGTTTGTCTCTATTCAGTTTGCTTTTTAGAACTTTATTTTGTACGGAGGTGATAAAAAGTCCTGAAATAAAATCATTTCGTTTGATTCTGCAATTTTTATTCTTTTTTGATTATTTAAACTGATTAAACCAATTAAATATAAGAAATATACATTATCATTCAAGTAGCGTCTGAATGGTAACAGGTAAGGTAATAGATTACGGGTTTGTAGGCAATGTTACCTGACTCCCTATATTTACTTCAATATTCATAAAATGATTTTTATGATTTACTATAATTTAATAAAACAACTTGATCATTATGTTATTAACTTTTTCATGACCCCATTGCAAATAATAATCTTATTAAACAATTAAATGATTTTCATCAATTAACATCAGAAATTATTCTTACCCTTTTTGGCCTAGTAAAAATACTTAAACAATAGCGATAATATACTTCATGAAGTGCTAAGATTATCCATTAAAATAACAAACATAAAAGTACAATAAGTCATTTATTGGATTTTGTAATTTCAAATAACATATTTCTTCACGTAATCGTATCTTGGAGCGCGTTATAACTATATTGATATGATAGATGGTAAATGAGTTTGAAAGCTACAATGGTTTCTTCAAAATTGACTAATAACCTAACGATTCCATACACTACAAACTGTTATTCTTTGAAGTGATGTTTTGGGTTGAGAGTAATTGTTACTCGGTTACACTATGTACATTAGCTCAGCTGATTCATCTCATAGAGTCATTAAGTTTTCTTCTACTTTAACTTATATCTACAGAATATTAGATTCACTTTTCCTTTATATGAAGACAGGTGGGTAACCTCTTATTGATTAAAACGACGTGACTTTAATTACTCAGTTGTAAATTCAAGACTTAGTTCATCTGCTTCATTTTGAATGACGAGGGAGTGTCATAAATTTATCACAAGAATGGCACGAATTAAAACTGAATAAATAAGGGTTCGTTGTTAAAATGGACTAAATAAAATCAGAGTAAAGATGCAAATATATTATTTCTTTGAAGTCACTTTGTTTTTAGAACCGCCATCCAAATAAATGAAGATAGTAGATCTCAAAGATGATTACAGATTAGAATAAAACATCAGGAGGAACAAGTAGGAAAATTTTATTTCTGACGTTTCGTGACTCAATGTTAGCAACTTCTTTAGAGTAAACAAACAACCAAATCGGGATGTGACTAAAAATATATTTATTATTAACTTTCTATCCAGTGCTCAATTTATTTGAAACTATTGAATTCAACCTTGGTATTGATATCTACAAACAGAGAACGGATTACATTCTTTCAAGTATAAGCGGAAATGTTTGAATTTCAGCCTCCTAATACTCGATAATTGTTTAGGGATTTCTTTGTAACGTAGAAGAACGAAGCATGTATCTATTTTAAAAACCTGAAAAATGGGATTTATTTGTTATTTTTGACTGATTCAATATAACCTCTTCCAATGAATTACAGAAATACAATCAAGTTTCAGTAAGACTATATTAACTTGAGTAAAGAATGAACAAATATCTGAGCAGTACATTATGAATTTCGTTAATTTCGTGAATTCTCTTTAGCTGCTTACAACCTAAAACTACAGCTTTATTCATTAAAACGAAACAAATGTACATACTTTAAATCAGAAACGTCTGAAAGAAACTGAGTCAAAATATAGAGATAGAATAATATTAGGAGACCATGATAGGGAATATATAAATATTCTTGCTAGGTTTGAAGCGGTTACGAGTCCACTTAGACTGCGAACGGAACAAAGACTCGGTGACCTAAAAACAATAAGCTAGCTATTTGATGCGTCCCAACCCCGCTAACTAGAGGGAGAAGTCCAAGCTTGGAATAGGGGAAGTATATTCCGCAAACAGCCAGAAACGAGCGATAACAACAAACACAAATCAAAACTTACATATACAGCACAAATCCGTCCTTGGGGAGAGTTACAAAATAGCATACTAAAAGACACAGCGAACCAATGGCATTTAAGACTCTCCCAAGCGGGACTTAGGACATGAAGGTGAAAAGAGCGTTTTGACGCAAAAATAAAGAAATTCAAATTTTCTAAATAAAATTACAAAATTAGGTCCTTTTCCTAGTGAGTTCTGGGAATCTAATGTCCTCGACAATTCTAAAAAAGTACGGAAACAGAAATGTTTACCCTCATGACGTTATTTTTTATGAGATTATTATGTAATACTTTGTTTTTATTTTTACATAGTCTTTACATAATCTAATATCTTAATTCTTACTACTGAGATTTACTCAACTAGTCTATATATTACATAATTTATCTTCTGTTTCGAGTAGAAAATATTCTGTTTCCATACTTCTCTAGAATATTCATGTACTTAACCTATAAATGAGCGAACATTTGAACAATTTTAATCTTCCCATATTATGGTCTCTTATTATTATTCTATCTCAGTTTAGTTCTGATGTATGTAACATAAAGTATCTATACTTTGTTCTTTGCTTATTCAAGTTTATAAATGAAGAGTGTTGCATAAAAGACTATATTATAGTAAATCGTTTTTAAAATTTTTATAAATCATAGCTCACCTAAAATCCGATAACCCTAACTCGAATAGCTTTCTATCTACCAAAATCACTTTGTATAGGTATCGTTAATATAGGTATTTATGAAGAATATTTTTTTGTTTCACATCCTTAACAATGTTCACTGAACTGACCTAATAAATCAGTCATTAACTTTATAGAAAACAGTAGGATGTCGATCTCCTGAATTGCTTTATTTACAAATTATATAATATGTTTACAGTATTCATCCATGCTCAAAGCACTTTAGCATTACTTTCAACAATATCAAGCTTTACTATAAAACATGACATGTTTTATTTCGCTAGTATTTACACTTTTTATTCATAAAGCGCTAGCTAATCTGTTATGAGTGAAAGTCATAAACCCCCCTTAGATCTAAAGATGAACCAAGATTTATCATATGTTTAAGCAAATGTAACATGTACGATGACGAATACCATTGGAGTTTCAACAAAAAATATTATTGGTTAACTTAATAGATTTTCAGATAACTGAATGATCAAACAGTAATAATGAAGATAAAATCACAATAACTATTAAATACATTATTCATCATTCAACAGAAAACTAGACCACATATATATCCCATTGCATTATTCCTTTTTAAAAAAACACATTTTATGTTTGGACAATAAAATAAATAAAAAAACAAAACAAAACAAACATGTTGAATACACTGTAATACAAATATTAGGTTTTCTTAATGTGTAAATGATAAGAACTTTACTAAAATAGATTGTTTTACTGTGTTTTTCTCTTTTGTTCCCCTCTTTATTCATTTCAAGGTCAGGCACAAAATATTCACAGAAGAATACAAAAAAGCACAAAAGAAATATATAACTGAAGCGAATGATTATTATTTTATTTTCGTTTAATCATGTAATTAGAAAAAAAAGACTGAAACAAGAACTAACGAAAAAAAGAAAGAAAAAAAAGAAACAAAAATTATATCCACTACTAATCTGATTATTAATCATAATGAAAAATCTTGAAAATTACAAACGATTATGTAAGATCACAAATTCAATGTTCATTAGTTTGATAGGAATTGTCGATTGATAAAGATCTTCATGTATGAATGTAAATGAATTTACACATACACATAGAGATATATTCCATACAAGTAAACACATTAACATTTACACATATAAGAGTATGTAACCATATGAATACATTTAGATTGAAAGTTTATATTTCCCCTTAATAAAAACATCAAAACAAAGGGAACTACATATAAACACTCGCACACACGCACAAGCACATCCATCTACTTAGGAATATATTGACATAATTAAAAGACATTTATTATCAAGTATTGGAATTGAGCTTAATCACGTTTCATTTATTTGCATAAAAATTTGTACGAATATTAATAATAATAATAATGATAACAATAAAGATCATTTCAACAACAAAGACGATAGTGATAATACTGATGAAGAATTGTTTATGTGAAATTGCCCAAATTATCCAAAATGGGAATGAGATGGAATAATAGGATTGAAACATAGCGTTTTGTTTAAAATTATAATACGTAATAATATTTACCAAACATGACATTTCTTTACAGGATTCATTGGTGATCCTGCAGGACAATTGAAAACTTTAGCAAATTCTTTTGAATTTGTTATGGTACCAATTACTCTACAAGTAAAGAAAAATGTGTGCAAAACTTTAGTCGGTAACAGTTTTTATTTAAACGTAAATCAACTGTGATTGAAATAACATTGAATTTCGAAGAATGTTGTGAATAAGATGGTATCATTATCAAGTATAGAAGCAAACATCTTAAAATGTGTGAAAATATTCTAGCACAAGAAAACGTTAGAGATGAAGTAAGAAGGGTGGAAAACTTATCAATCGATCAGCAAAGACTATTACATAAATTGTTAAACTAACGGTAGCCAACTACATGAATTACTGAACACTTTTCGTAAAGCTTCCGTGATGTTTCTTAGACTATTTACTTTTAATAAAACATCATAGTTATCTAAACTTGTATAAAATATGTTTCAGCTATTTGAGGCAGCACAGTCTAATGAAATTAAGTGTTTGAAATTTCTTACCTAAAACTTATTTAAGGAATCCTAAACATTGAATATTTGGTTATATCATTTATTTCATCTCACCTTTGAAATGTAAATATGATCTACATATTCACTTTTCAGCTAATAAATGCAAATGTATTAAGGTTTCATCAGTGCAATCTAATATTTCAATTTTTGATAACATTATTTAACTAAGCACAATAATATTAGTTTCTAATTGTTTACGTGAATTTTGTATCAGTACAACAAGGAATAGATAACTTTAAAGCGTTGATATTATAGTAAACTGTACAAATATATTATTTTTAGGCATTTTCTCTCATTTCTCTTCAGCGTTTCCCGATTGGCAAAATATATTAGTTACTATAAAATGAAACATCCTTTAAAAATATGGCATTTAGTGAGTTTCGAATTTAACATTGTTTAAAATTAGTCAACAAGAAGCGGGACCTTTTGGATAGTATTTTAATTACTGTAAACATGCGAATTACAGGCTCCATTCATCATACTGATGAAACTACATACTTGTGGTAATGTATAAGTGATGCCAAGTCTTATAAAGTATAAATTGGATTCAATAAAGTAGATTTGATTTTCATTCAACTGGTATGAACTTAATAGCACTGTTTCCTGAGTATAATTAAATGAGTTGAAGTTAGACATTAACACCGTTGGATGCCGGCTCAGTTGTCTAGAGGTTAAGTGCTCGCGAGCGAAACCAGTAGGTCCTGAGTTCGAATCTCACAGGGGGCGAGGTCGTGAATGCGCACTGCTGAGGAGTCCCACAATAGGACGAAACGGCCGTCTAGTGCTTCCAGGTTTTCCATGGTGGTCTAGCTTCAACTGACTCATGATCTCAACCATTGAAATTACTACAATCTCCAAAAAACCCATCTGATATAAATAAATAGTTGGTACAAAAGAGTTGAAAATCCAAAGTATGTCAATACTTTTGTTTTGTTATTTTTGGATTAAAATGATCTGATTTCCTTTAAATATGATTATAAATGCCATGACTAAATTCAGTGAACTAATTAGATTTACTTGACTAGAACAGTGAATAATAATAACAACAATAACTGTCTCCTAGACAACGGGTAATTCTAAATTATTCAATAAAATGGTGAATTATTTAAAATATCCTGAAACAATTATCAAGCTATAGTTTGTATACATTTAACCTGAGTAAGTTCTCAATTTAAAATGGGGAAAGTTATCAATTAGTTGTAGAATGTTTATGATTCACGAATTGCACAGGTTTGAACCTTGGACTTTCTAGTTTTACCGTGACAGTCGTGACATTTAGCTGATGACTCAGGATCATATATTACTTGTTTTACAAATTTTGTCGATACCCAATTCAGCACTACTATTACCCGGAGCAGTTAATGATCATTTGTGTGCTTCTGATTTAAAATTCACCACAGGTTTTCACCACACAAAAGATTTTGAAATCTATCTTGAAGATAGTCATTTATAATGAATATCACAGAGTGATCTGTTCATAGGGTTATTGATGGAGGGTCTCATAAATAATATTAATGTAAAAATTAGACAACATATGGCAGGAATGAGATGTGTGAATGTGAGATGTTGAAAAAAATTTGTTGCTCAGGTGGATGATTTTGAAGTGTTCAAACACTTCACTTCTACATGAAGTTTGTGCTGATGATGTCGTTCAGAAGGACGATAACAGCTCCATGATCAAACCATCCAGCTTAGAAAACAAAATACCATCAAAAACATTTGAATGTAATTACTTTAAGAGAGCTCGAATAAAATACCTTTGATTGCATCTTTATAATGTATAAATTTGTATACTACCTTAATAATTCTTATAAGATTGAGATTATAAAATTACCTGTACTGCTCCACTGTATGGACATCAAAAAGCACAGTATTAAGAACTGATTGAGGGAGGCTTTTAATGCACCATAGCTAAAATATGGAGATAAATTGGGAATAAAATAATATAATAATATAAAATACATACCAGTGTGTTTAACATAAATGTATAGATCAAGTTTTAAAAAAATAGAATACATGTAAAATCAGTAAAACTCAAGTAAAGTATGCTAGTTGTTATACATTTTATAACTGATATGCAAAAATAGTTGATACACTACATATTTTATTGATAACTGAAAGTTTGTCAAAATAAGTCATTAAGACTGACATACCTTAGTGTTTAACAATCATAAAATGATGTTTACAGCGACCATTTGATTGAAGATATCAGCTAATTCAACAACTTCACAGGTTTCAGGTTAAAATTTACGTTTTCAATAATTAACCAAACTCGTTTTATAATTTAGACTTGACACCAAAAGTTGTTAATTAGTAACGGTGTTTAGAGAAAACTTGTAGTAGCTAAATTCAGAACTGGTGAGGCACAGCATTAATTGCTTTTAGCATTGATGATGAAACGTATAGGTGAAATGTTTTCTTTTTCAATGTATATCACTCTAGTTCTAATTAATTTTATATGCTGATTGATTGACCCTAATAAGTCGCAGTATGTACTCAATCTAATATGTATATTTTCAAGATAAAGACGGAGCTATAAATTTACCTGAAGATATTGACACTAATATAGTCTAATTCAACAGCTTCACAGGTTTCAACTTAAATTTTAAATTCCCAATATTTAGCCAAACATGTTTTATTGTAGAAATTTTGAACATATCACTATCAATATCACAAGGAATTATAGACTATTTATTCCGGACTACTGATAATGTTTTTCGTTTTATTTTCTTTCACTTTTGTTTGGAATTCATTTACCGTTGGTTCTTCAAATGGACATGTTTGAAGCTTCTATCTTTTTTTAAATAAAGACTTTTAGTTTTAATACACTGGTGTGTATTTTAGAATTTGGTAGTAAGTTATTAGAAAGACCGTTATATTTTAAACGGAATTATCAATTACAGCTTAACGAAATCATTTGTATTCGGATATAATTCATAACCAGGAATCAGTTTAGGAAAAAGTATAAATTAAAAATTGCCTGATCTGATTCTCTCAATGACAATTTACATGGGTACAAGTTTCGAAATCCAAAGTTAGCGAGATTTTTTAAACAAACGATTGAAAATTACATGGAAGCACTATGTAACCACTGAACAAGAAAAAGCGATTTATACACATCAATACGAAATGTTTATTTGGACTGTTTAATTTTAGCATCCATTGAAAAAACGGCTAATTAAAGTAAAATAAACCTTGTATGCATAAACATCACAGGAATATACCTGTTAACTAGAAATATGAAATATGTAGGCACACGACATCAGTGAGGCGATGTTAAGTAAATAACCACTCTTCGGTATGAAGAAAAATACCCTATATATGTGAAAGGTGACCTTACACTACCAACTATCAAAGCTTTCCAGCTGCACGTACGATCTTAAAAAAAACATAAAAATTGAATCACTGCTTATGGTCATCATTATAAAGTTCATGACTATTCGATATCATTGGCTTTCATGGTGGTCAAATCAATTTGCAGTACAAAATTATAGTCAAACCAATGTTTCTTTCGAGAATTTCCTCCATATCAAAACGTTTCTTCTAAATCAGGAACATTGTTCAGATTTAAGTATTCTGTTTTGAAGGTTTATGATACTAATCGGTTATCATATCGAAGTGTGACCTGAACCCTGAAAACGATAACCAATGAGCAATTGGTTTATTTCAGTAAAAATTGATCTGAAAAGTTTTCGTCGATATAAGTCAAAGGTAAAAAAAACATTTTTAGTTCAGTTCACATAGTATGCCTGAAAACAATCCATCTTGTTTTACTTCTGATGGTTAACTAAGAAAAGTCATCCATGACATAAAGCCAATCATTTTAGTTCATGTTATACAAGTTTATTTTAATCCAACGTTCACCGACTTTTTTTTCAGTTTAAATAAAACGTTCATTTTAATTTTCTAAAATGAGCCATAGAGTTTACCTACAAGTTATCGACTTATTACTTGACATTAATCGATGGGAACGCAACGAGAAACAACGTTGTCAAAAAGACTTCCTCTATTTCTGTTACGTGAGAAACAACAGCGCTTGTACTAGGCACGTTACTGTCCTCCATAATGATGATTAAAATGTACTTCGTCGACAAGTACTGATGTTTTATAGCAATCCGACAAAACATAACTAACAAATTAAAAACGAACTTCAAAACTAGCCATTTCATTGGACGAAACGGGATGAAAAATATTGCAATTTTGGGTTGAAAAAGCATTTTTAAAAAGGGTGGGTGGGGGTTTTTTAAAAGAATTGCCGTGGGGCAAATGAATTTCGATGAATGATATTGTTTTTGTAGTGTCGACCACTATGTTAAGCCCATATAACGTATTCTAGCTTCTGGACAGGCCAATTCGTCCCTTCTTCTTGAGTCACGTTTAGATCTTGTTAATTATTAAGTCGATAACTATATACGAGAATAATCAAAATGTATATTTCAGTAACGATCATTCATACAATCCAAATTGGAGTCGGATACAAGGGCCCGTTAAGGTTTTCTCGAAACGTTATTTATGATCATTTTATTTACCATCGAATATTGGTCCATAATACTTGTAAATTAATATTTTAAAGAATAATCAGTTTGCTAATTAAATTCCATAAAACAGGATATCATAAACTATTTATCACTTTAAATTAATGATAACATACCTGGGCAAATCCAATGAAAAATAACTGATCTGGAGTGAATTTTAAACCAGGCAATATAGGTTTGTCGGAATATTTGGCTTCCAACTTTTTAAATGCCTATAATTAATAGGAAACAAATATGGTTGTAGAAAAGATTTAAGGAATCAAAGTGATTTATAGATGATATATCGAGTAAAGTGTGGCTTAGACAAACATAACTCATATGTTACATAAGATCTTTGAACATTGCAATAAATTATCAAGCTACTATAAGTAACTACAAAGGAAAAGAATAGATAATATGGGATAATACTAAGCTTGTAATTTATGGCAATATAGAAAATGAATGCATCTAATTAACTGAAATCGAATTTGGATTATAACATATACAATCCATAAGAACAGATTAACTCGTAAAACAGAAAATTTGCATCTACCTGTACATATCAAACTAACAACAAATAAATTCCTGAACTGATTTTTATAACTTCTGGTTACCAATGAGTAGTTTTTCTCTTATTTATATGTTAGCTAGAATAACATTATAGGGTAGGAAGTGGATGAATGTGTATGACACATGTCCCAAAAGTTGAATCAATGAAAATTAAGCGCTGGTCGCGATATCGGAAGGTCTTAGGTTTAATCTCTGATAGGGCTATAGACTCTCATATTACGATGGAAAAGCTTTCCAGTGCTTCCTGATTTTTATTGGCTGGCAAACTGATGTCAATCAATAACGTGAAAGTTTAGATAACTATATGCTAACTAGTGATAATTCGCGAACTAATAGTGTCGAGTAATCCAAATGTCAGATAGCTAACCATTGACATTATTGGATTAAGGTAGCCATGTACCGAGTTTATCTAGAAATAAATAAATTTCATCGATTATTATCACTGGTCAATAATAACAGCCCTAGATAAGAACTCTCTCAATTTTTATATTGTTATGCTAACGGTTATAGTTAATGGATACATTCAATTAAAACTTTCACAATGATGAAGTTTTAAAAAAACATTTTACAACACATTAAGCATTTGTTCTGTAATATAAACGGAATATTCATGTATTTTCAACGTAACTACAAATACAGCTTACTTTATAGGCTGCTTTAAGACCTCCGTTATCAGCGATGTTTTCACCTAATGTCATTTTTCCATTAAGCTATGAAAAAAAGAAAATTGTAATAAAATAATGAAATAACAATCTGTTAAAACACCACAAATAATATGAACCAATTTAAAATCAAGTCCATTTTTACAGCTTAGAATTACATCGATGATTAAGTTCACTGTAGAAGAATATATAAACAAAATTTTATATGCAGAAATTGATAATTTATTTTAATTTCAATGGTTGAGATCATGAGTCAATTAAATCTAGACCTCCATGGAATACCTGGAAGCATTGGACGGCCGTTTCGTCACATTGTGGAACTTCCCAGCAGTGCTCATGCACGATCCAATGTATTTTAACTATTTAAAATGTTTAAATGAGAGTTTGACATCTATATTTGATTTGTAAAACATCTTTTAGTAAGTTGCTATGCTTCAACAACACAGTAAAAATTAAATTTATACAACCACGTGTATACAGTTTATATATATGAGTTCTTCGCTTGTATAACAGATTTCGGAAAAACATTTTTGTTTGTGCCATCTTTATTCATTTATAGAGACTTGTAGTCAGTATCATGATAGAAAAATGTATTTGAAATTCGTACTTATATAAATAATTATGTAAATGACTCATTTTTTAAGTGTTTTTCATCAGAGTTGAGCATAGTATTTAGTTACTGGATCAGAAATTTTGAAAGTCATCTCTGATGTGAAGCAGAAAACTCGTTGCAATGGTAAAACAAACAAACATGTGACTTATTATACTTGGGGAATTCATTAAAATACTTAGATTTCAGTTGTAATTAGTTATAACTATGGTATAAGTTCTAAAACGTCAGTCCGTTTCTTAGGAAATTTGCTTAATGCAATGAGAAGACGATGATTATCAGAACTATGTGATATGCTTGGGCTAAGGTATTTTACGTGAAAGATCAACTGGAAAAATTGGAAGGTAAAAGGAAGGTAGGATAACAATAGAGTATACGATGTGAAAAACCATGTTCGATGATAAACTAATATTATTAGGGTAGATTGAATGGGATTTCGTATTTTGAATAGCCAAGGTTTCAGTGAACCTTAGTGCTTTTGTATGACATTATAAACGATGCCTTGATATCAACCCATGGACCAGTCACAACTTAACGTTTCATAGTAATGAAAGATATTAGTCCATCCTGTGGTCTCATTTGATCATAGGAGTTTATTTGTTTTTGTAGCCATCTAGGTATATATTCAGTCACCCTTACGTGTAGATCATAAATGATCCTTTCTACGTGTGAGTTACTGTATATATACGTACGTGGATAGACCCAATGCAGTGTGAAAACGTCGTTGAAATATTGTTTGTCTTTGGTGAAACATAGACATGGACTTCTCGATAATGATCAGTTGGGCTGGGTAAAATATCTTACTGAACATTAATCTAAGTCTTCATTTCAACATAAGACTATTTAAGTCACTTGTGAATGGTAGGATAGTACAGACTCGCTTTTAGATTCAAAGAGCGTATTAGCCATCGTAATATAAATGCTTTTTCAAAGGTTTATAGAGTTTAATGAATAACCACTATTCATTATTGTTTCAGTTAAAAGCTATACGTCTCCAATTATATCACTGGAACGATTATGATTGATCTTATTGAGTAAGCCTTTTATTGACCTACCTAGTTCTGATAACCATCGTCATCTAATCTCATTATTCAATCATAAAGATTATCTATTTGAATAAATCGAAATTGGGAATTCAAAAAGTGATGACAAAACTATTATTAAATAAAACATAAATAATAGTTCATATGTTAAAATATACTTACACTTGTATTAAGAATTGAATAATTACTATACTGATCAATCATACATTGTGAATTTTTTTCGAAAGCTGACAATGTTTCTGCACTCCACCAGTCTCGCATATTTCCTTTAGCATCGAATTTAGCACCTATGAAAGTGTAGAAAAAGTTGTTGTTTCAATATGATATTCGGGTTAATAAAGTTGTCAAACATTTAAAATTAAATGACATAGGAAGGAATTCAACTGTTATTGTTTGGTATTTTAAAGAATTCTGTTCAGGTAACATCAGTTATCGATCTAGTCAAAACAAAAATTAATAATTCATTCTATTTCACGGTTTCTCATCAGCTGCATACAACCTGAAATTACAATTGTTAACATAATTATTAACAAATGCTTAACATATAAGCAAAAATGGATAGTGGCTAAGAGGGAGATGCAGGCTACGAGTTTCGTCCTGTTTAAGACTCATCAGCTGGATGTACCTGTGTCTCAGAGTTGATGTTCATTCTGGGACTCGAACCCAGTATTGTTCGCTTCAAGTGTTTTATAAAAAGGAATTTTTAATTTACGTTAATTTCCAATTATATGTAAACGTCTAATTCAATTAAGATGAAATAAACTATTTGTAAATCTCCGTCTTTGCTTTACCGGTTAACTGATTCATTTAAAATGAGCTTCTCGAATTTTAAAACAAACTGAAGATGAACAAAAGTATGTTTGTTTCGTACTTAATAATTGTTCGGGGTTTCTAATATATCAGACGCCTTGTGTATTTCCGAACATACACATTACTTGATATTTAATAGTTAATCCGAATGGAATCTAAACATACCACATTTATAATAAATGACATGCTGTTTACTAATAAAAATTCAATGGAGCTTTTAGTGAAATACATGAATCAATGTGTATATGATGAAGACACTTTCGATACACTAAAGAATTTCTCGGTTTTGTCAAATAAATAAAAAGGATAATTTATTATAGAAATTCGAAATATGGATGAGAAATGGTTTAGTAAAACAAGAATATTCATAAACTTAGTGCCATCTAAAACTGACTTCAAAATGAAGAAAGATAATTTTAATAAAGTTATATTCACTACATATTTTATCTGATGCAACCGAAGCGATGATTATGAATAGCTTTTTTATGTTGAAAACGTTACCCGTACCTGGAGATACCAAAGCTTGATATGTTGAAGTTACGTAACTAATACAGTTATAACTGAAATTAACTCAGTTATCTCAAGGAGTATCGGTCTACTTAAAACATCAGATACACCATCATCCTCATATATCGAAGTGAATCTTTATTTGGAAAGTATGAACCAAAGTTAGTGTTTTAATAGTGTGAAATTAGAAAGAATTAGGTACCTATATAGAGTGAGAGGAATATATAAACAAATGTACATCTTAGCTGCAAAAGGTTTTATAAATGTTAATGCACGTAATATTGAAAAACTCATTATTACAACACATTTCATTACTCGTCACAATGATACTGGGATGATATTGTTTGTGATGATTTGTAGAAACCCTATAGATAAGACGAATTACATCATATTGATAAGAAGTAACTTCTATTTCAAGCGAACGTAATGTTTTTTGGGAATTCGAATCAATGTCTATTTTCTTACTTAGAACTTCCCTGGGTTTTGTTGCATGATTTTAATTGCTTTCCGACTACATTTGATCATTTAAGAAATTTGTTTCCTCATCGTGTTCCATCAAGAATTTATCTCAGACTATCATTAAAAACCTGGAAGAACTCGATACATGCTTAGTCCTATTATGTTACACCCAGATAGAAGAGAAACATATCAGCTTATTGTTATATCTTGTGATTGCAGATTAGAGCGCAGAATATTATCGATCGAACCTGTGACGCACAAAACACGTACGAGGGGCTTAGAGTCCTGATTGGTCCCACTTTCCTGTCTAGTCCAGCCAGTTGAGTCCAGAACACAAATCTCAGCCTCTGAAATATGAATCGCGCATTTCAAACATACTCTGTTTATATACCAATCAAACAGACCACAATGTACCAATAAAATATGAAAATAACATATGTACAAAATATGGTCAAATGTAGCTGTGAATGGGGGAGGTAGTGATTAATAGACAGGGAATAATTCAAGAATGGTAAATCGTACAATAATAGTTCATAGGTCAAAATAAAGCTCATAATAAGAGGGGCATGAATATGAACAGTTTAGTTACATAACAATTATATGATAAAAATATACTCATAATATTGGTCCATAAATGGATCCCAAAAATTACCATTCATTATTCTTATCGCGATACAACACTTATATAACTGATAATATAAACTCTATGATGTTCAACATTATTATACATGAGTATATTTCTAGCACATACACTTTTAGTAAATATTGATCAACACTTAGAACCAAAGAATATTCTTTTTTAGTTAGATAACAAAGATATGTAATACATAATGAGTTAGATAGATATTAACACCTTAGAAATGTGGTAATAAGTAGAGTTCCCATAATTGAACTGTAGTGAACAGAACACGGATGGCGATAATCGAATTATATTTAGCACAAAATTACAGAGTTACTTGGTAAAATAGAAAATCCATACTATAATACTTAATTTGCAAAATGTTCAATAATTGTCTCGAACTTCATTGTTCTTGCATTTCTATACTAATCACTTTGTATTCCCGCCCTTCCTTTCTTGATCTTCCCCATCTTCTGCCGCCAGACATTACATACCTGACTCGCGTCATATACTACTTATATCAACATAAGTAGCACGCCCCACAGAACTACTATGTTAACATCATAGTATAATTTTATAAAAAAGTCAAATATCTATACTACATATCCATAACTGACACAGTTGTTTCTTCTTGTCAAAAACATACATCTAACAACCAAAGAAAAGAAAGGATTATTATTTTTATATCTCCTATCTTTTCGTATTTCAGTAGTATTTAATTCTCTGATGAAAAAAAGTTTTTTTATTTATTAGTATCTTATGATATCTCTTATTTATTTCAATGATTTGATATTTTATACTTAAAAAATGATAACTATTTATATTATTTAATATTTAGTTTAACACTTAGACAATTATCATTTCTTTATATACACGTGATCAATCGATGCATATATAAATAATGATTATGGGAATCTACTTATCATTATTAACTTATACTACTGAACACTGATAAATAGTAGTACAATTCAGTAGACACTCATATATCCATGAAAACAGTAAAAAAAAACAGAACAAGTTGAAGAAATACATAGACATAAATTAAAACAAAATTTTTTTTATTTTCCAAAATGTATTGTATAATTATTATTAATTATAGAACTATACTAAATTAGAAATCAGTAGACAGCTGTTTATTCTTGTTAATGGACAAGCAACAATCTCTTTTGAAAGTTTGTATTTATTTTTGCAGAATATTGTTATCAGCTAGATATTTCATCAAATTGTTTCAAATGATGTTTTTTCTTTTATTTCTTAGATTTTGTTTTTCTTTCTCTTCTTTATTACATTGAAGTCAATTGTATTTAGTCATTAGCATTATAGATTTATAAAATAGTTATTTAATGTTTAAATATGATTTGTAAACTTAATTCTATAGCAATAGTAATTCATTTTAATTTACTTTAAATTGGTTGACTGGATCTTCTAATTGATGTATAGGTTTGCAGTTGATTAGTTTCTTGTTAACATATGTGCATACTGTGAGGATTGCCTCGATATTGACTTAAGTCATAAGTATTATAAGCAAAGATAGATGATGGCTAGCACTGGAATCCAGATTGAGTGTTTCGTTCTAGTTTGGACTTGTCAGCTGGATGTACCTGCATCTCAGAGTTGATGTTTACCCCAGAACTCAAACCTAGACATGCCAGCTTCAAATGACATAGTGTTCTTTACTTAGCTACTGAGCTTAGATAGCCACTGCAATCGGGTGAAGTTTAATTCATTTTGTATTAATTGTATGAATCTTCCCATTGTTACTTAGGACTGCAATTGATCAGTCTCTTATTGACATATGTATATCCTGTGAGGATGACCTCGATACTGTCTTAATTCATATTTATGAAATGGACATTAGTTTAGAGAAATATATATTGTTAATAAAAATATCTACTTTAAATAAGTTTGAATACATGATTCTTTCTTTCAAACTGATTTTTGATAATAACTAAGCAGATAGTAATTAATTGTGCTAAATGTTTTTTAAAAGTTTTAATAATTTCACACTTTTCAATCTTTTTCGAAATGATAATTTCATTCCGTTGGTTAGTCGTAATCAGCGATCATATAAAATACACAAAAAGTTTGTTTCACTACTGGGCTTATTAAATTAGTTATTGCTTCCTGTAGTCAGAGGTGTAACACTGTCATTCAAGAGTTAGTTATAATATCAGTCATTACCTTCATGTTCAAAGAATTATTCTCAGTCAAAAAAAGATTAGTTGTTATTCAAGTCCTAAACATAATATGGTTGCGCAATATTGTGGATCGATTGAAGTTAGACATTACCACCATTGGATGCTAGCTCAGTGATCTAGAGGTCAAGCGTTCATGCACGAGCGCAAAGGTTCTGGATTTAATTCCCACATGCAGAATCTTGGATACACACTGATGAGGAGTCCCATACTAGGACGAAACCACCATCCATTGCTTTCAAGTTTTCTCAATGATGGTTAGTTTTGTTAACTGAGTTATATTTTATTAAATGATGATTATATTTTATTAAGAAATGACTATATCAAACAAACTCATAAGTTTTATGTTTAATTCCTTGTAAATTAGTCGTTAAGCATAATTTGAAGAATTTTTAGTAACGACCAAATAAACAAACAAAATGTTTTCAATATTTTACTATTTGATACTAGTTCATAATAAAATCTATCTTTCATTTAAATAAATCAACATAAGTCGGCAAACTTAACGATTTATCAATTTATATCATTTTATTTTCGGTCATACAAAAACAAAATCTCACATAAATCTGCATACTTACGAACAATTGGCATAAAATAGACAACAAAAAAGTAGCCGTGTTGATGAAATATAGTTATCTTTTAACTTATTTCATTGTTTAAAAAATACGCTTAATGAAGGTTAGCATATGTAAATGTTCTATATTGTATGCAAATTAATTATTCAGTAAGAGATAAATTAGTTTGTTAACTAATGTCTTAGTACTAGACTGATCCCCATATCTTAAGAGTATAGTTAACGACTAAGATTTACATTCTACAAAACTTATAAATTAATTTTAAAATACTCAGATAACTAATCTTTAGCTCTTAAAAGGTAAATTGTTAAGAAATTACAAGTTTAATAGCAGATTTGAATATTTGGATAGAATTCTAGCCAATTCGGTTTAAACAAGTATGTTCCTCAAACATTTTACCGATGAATATATTAATGATATCAATAAATCCATTTATGATGAGTTACTATACAACGGTTAATAAAGACGTTTCTATTATTTGATTGAATAATAGTATTTTCTTATCTACTTAAAGAAGCAATTCTTAATGTTTAACTAAACAACTTAACTAAGCACTAAAAACATGTCACATTTATTTTTTGAAGATAGTTTACATCGAAATTTTCCCAGGTTGGACAGCGACGTAAATGATCTTTACAACCATCGCATCCTGCTCAATGGTGATTGACAACAAAAATCGTAACGAAGGTACAATTTCAGAGTCATGATTAGCATAGTTCTAACTTGATGAAAGTTGGACCGATGCAACTGATGACGGATGGATAATCATACAAACTGAATGAGCTTGAAAATTTCACTTTTTGGATGCTAATTCATGTTTCAAAGTCAAGTTCAAAACTCTCTATTTAAGTTCTGTTTAGGCTGATAACCATTAAAATGTTTCAAATTAGAACAGAACAGTTACTTAATGTTAATTGGTTTTTAGTTTTACCCATCTAAATTTCATAATTGATGTGAAATATCTTCAAAACAAATTATCATCATAAACTTATCACCATTAATTGTTTTAGTTTTGTATAACCGTTTTTTTAAATTGATGAAAGTGTATTATTCTTACAAAGTAGTTTATAAAAATGTAATGATTGAAAATTCAAAATCATTTTTGTATCCGCCAATTATTGGATTTGATAAATAATTTTTGGTATGTATTTCTATAAAATGTGCAAGTGTAGTTTTAATACTATGAGTTAAGGAATGAGAAATGTTTGGTGTTCAAGAGCATTGAAATCTTTTATATGAGTAAATCAGTTTATCATAATTCTATCAAACTAAAAAAGAAACAAAATCCATTAACATAAGCTATTAACTATATTTTCTTTACAATAGTTTGTAAATATAACATTCTCTGTAATCAGATTGTACAACAATATTTAAATATAAATTTACTTATTATACTATTATACTCATTTTCAGACTGAAATATATACATCTTCTGTACAGAAATGAAAATTACCTTTCCTAGAGCTAAACATTACAATGCTGGTGTAAATGGATTTGACTATTTCAAAATAATATTTTCTTCATATGTTTACATTTTTGCATTTATTGAAGCATTAAATGTCACATAAGTATCTTTACATCATTACTGACTATGTCATTCACACACTTCATAAGAGGGTATTACTTATATTAACTGCTTTTAAAAAATGAATAGGAAATATGATATATCATTGTTATACTCTTACCATGTTGATCAAAAGCATGAGTTATTTCATGTCCAACAACCATACCAATTCCACCAAAATTTAATGATAACGGTTGTTCATGATGATATAATGGACTTTGTAGTATACCAGCAGGAAAAAATATATGATTTGAATTTTCTTTATAAAATGCATTTACAATATGAACTGGTAAAGACCATCTGTAAAGATTAATATAGATAAATAAGTTAGAAAACAAACTTGTGTTAAACCTATTTGCATTTTATTTGGAACTTGTCAGCTAAATATACTTGTAATTCAATTAATTATGATTGTCATAAAGATTGAAATGTTACAGTTATCACCAAAAACCCAAAGATATTTTACAATATGCAAGTGAAATATTTATAGCCATCATATTTTTAAAGTTTTGATCTTTAATACTGTTTACGCTGTTGCACTGACTATGTACAATTACGATGTAAAGGTATTCGTAAAATTAGCCTATATGTTAAAACATGGTGATACTTGGGATTTAGCGTAAATATGCATTTTAATATAGTCAATCTAGGTTTAACTATTTTGTCATATTCATAAGCATAAAGAGTTTCATATAATTGTAAAATTTTATATTTTACATTGATAGAGAGGATTAGACTGATCCATCTGTGTTAACAAATTAATTTCAAAAGCCAGTGACTACGTACTGCTTAGACTAAGTCCATTTTTGATATTGCTACAATTCACCAAAAACAAATTATTGCACTCGATTTTCAATCGGAGTTTATTTATGCGATTTAGTAATACTACTTGGCTATCTAAACGAAAGAAGGTAGGTTGGAACGTGGACTGACGTTCATGTAGTTGAAGGATATGAGTTATTGGTTGAATCCATTTAATGAACTTAGTTCAGTATACCAATAAAGATTGGTAAATCAGAAGTTGAATATCAACGATCAGAAACATGACCCTATAAAAGTAACGGCAGGTATCCTACATGTTGAACAAGCGTATCTATCTTCTTTCAATTAGTGAACTGATCAATGCTTTTAGCTTTCAATCAGTATCTGAATCACAGATCTATAGCATCAGTGGCTCTTACATTAACAGCATGGCTCAGTAACAAATGCATAGACTTTTTATAATGAATAGGTAACATGAAATAAAAACTTATAATTTAGTGGCCTAACCAATAATGATCTAGCTTTCAAACTGATAGATACATTATTTGATTATTAACGAGAACAACAACATTTAGAAAAGATAATTCTAAGTAAATGAACATGTTTTATTTTCGATAATTCACCAAATGTTCATTATCTAATTCTTAAAATCACTTTCAGTATTTCAAAGATCTAAACTTTTGTTACTGTAAATTATATCGATTGAGAGAGTACAAGTTGGACAATGCAGAATTGTTTTGAAAGAATTTATCAGTTTACACTGATGGTTCATTTTGTTAAATCTTGTAACATAAAAATTTCTATCCCAGTATACTTAAATAATTTACATTGTTAATAAGAAAACTTGATTTATCACTTCAATAAAATACTGAATTTAAATAAAATTAAACTAGTTGCCATGGCATTTAATATTCATGAATCAAGCTAGTTTATTTATAAGAATTTTTTTGTAGAATAGTGATCTGTTATTTTTAAAAAAAGATTGTTAAATGTACATTTTTTATATTTTTATTACATAACATGTTTATCTTTGAAAGAGAATTTTACTGTTTTTTTTCTTCTTTTTTGTTTGTTTTGAATTTGAACACAACCATTCAGTTCAGTAAGATTAGTTTAATTCTAGATTGTGTAAAAGTTAACATGACTGCTTTGTTGTTTAAACTAAAGTCGATGTCAAATAGTTTAAATCTGTGAGATTGAGTCAACGCCTATAAAACAAATTAGTGTAAATCAATGATAGATATTCAGTTTAGTTGAGTTAGTGATTACAAGTCTCTTTATAACAGTCAGCATTGTTCTTTAATAAGAATAAAATATACGATGAATTAATCCATAGTTTTTTTTAAAGATTATGCTGAATCTTTAAACATTAGTTATCATTTACTAAATAAGGACTAATAGCAAAAGCGTATCACGGTGAATGAACAACCTGTTTTTCGATGAAAATATCTAATTAGACATTCACTTGCGTATTTATAATTGTATTTCAAGCTTAGAAAATATCTAGGCAGAAATTCAGCCTAATATTAAATGAGATTAGTACGTTACTGACTACCATAACATTAAATATCCGTTATATAACCCGCATTAATCCATAAACCATAATTAATAACAATGAATACTATGCACAATACAAACTAGTGCGGTATATTAAAAGTTAGCCATATGCTCACTAGTGACTGGCTTCACGAGGTATATCCTGGAGTTCTAGTGAGAAGTAGTGACCAGTGGAGTTCAACCAGGTCTGTTGTGAGGTAGTAACTCACTGAAGACAATGGTGAATGTGTAGCTCAATTTCGTGGATTAGTTGAAGTTAGACATTAACACCGTTGGATGCCGGCTCAGTGGTCTAGTGGTTAAGTGCTCGGGCGCGAAACCAGTAGGTCCTGGGTTCGAATCTCGCAGGGGGCGAGGTCGTGAATGCGCGCTGCTGAGGAGTCCCACAATAGGACGAAACGGCCGTCCAGTGCTTCCAGGTTTTCCATGGTGGTCTAGCTTCAACTGACTCATGATCTTAACCATTGAAGTTAACCATATTAGTTTGCATTTAAGTGTTTTTCAAATTAACTCATATATTTCTTTCTCAATGTGATTATTTCTTTCTAGAAAGTATTCATCACTAGACTAAATAAAAGATCACTTTTATGAGGGTGTTTCATTTCATTATTTGATGTTTGTTCATATAATCTATTCACAATACGGTTGTAAAATTGTACAGCTTCCATCATATTTCCCAATTTTATGATTAACTATATTCTTCAGAGACATCTTTTGTCATAATCAGGTTTTTTATTGCTTATGGCATTTAGTTGAGTTTGCAAGGTGAAATAAACTAATTCAAACAGGCATTTGCACTAAAAACCAGAGTAGAACTTCTTACTGTGTTTAAATCATAGAATGTTCAGATCTATTACGAAAATGGTATACTAGATATTAAGACGCTATCCTTCACCTAGAATTAATTAACTCAGTTTTATTGAAACGACGGATCTATGACATTGGAACAAGAAAATAACCGACGTAGTCCTAGTCAATGTTCTTAATTAAAACGATCAATAAGAATCGCAAAACATTGGGATATAACAAATATATCATTATTTTATTATTAATAATTTCTCAAATACTCAAGCTAGAACTTGGTAATGATATTTGCAAAATGTTTTACTTGTTTTTTGGTCTACATGACTTGTGTGTGAACTACTAATCAATTATCCAAACTAAGGTAGGTTAAAATGGATTAGAATCTCTTAATTGATGTTTAAAAGTCAAGTACTTTTATCACTACGTTATCATTATTAAACTGAGTGTCTGTTAGACATATTAGTAAAAATGAAATTATTTATGTTTTGTGTATAAAATAGACTCTAATACTGACTGATTGTGTAATTAAACGCAATTACTTACCATTATCATTACAGTTAAATTTGAGTAACTAACACCTATGTTTGACAAAAAGAAGACGAATAAACTCTTACTCACCTATCTGGGTCCTGGATTATCAGTTCCCGTAGAATATCAAGAAACAATGCTTCAGAACAATGTAATGCATTTTCAAAATAAGTTGATTCATTCAAATCAACCTGGGAAACAGAAACAGAATAATTTTCATATCCAGTAAACTAAAATAGTTTTTTAACTGAATAAGTCAAGGTAATCATTCTTAGGTGTAACTCTAATTAAAAAAAGTATAGTAAATGACTCAAGTTCGCCTTAAAAAAGAAAGTAATTATAAGATTATCTACAAAAATTATTGTTTCTATTATCTTACCTAATTCAGTGCATTCCGACTCTACATGTTATTGCTAAATCTATGGTGAATTTTCGCTAACATCATCTATTAGACTATAGTATTCTTCAATTCTATTCCAAATTAATGGCGTCAATTGTTCATAACCAAATAAAAACTGTTACTGTTAACTTTATACTCTTCGCGTATACTTGCAAGAATTTTCATGATTAGATTCATGAAGTAATGTCTCCTGATGACTCTCTCGCTCAAAAGAGATTGATTTATTCTTATATTGACTTGAATAGAACTTTATAATATCATGATACATAGAGTGCCTCTACCCATGTTTTATAGACAAAAAGTGTCTGTTCACCAATGATTTTGTGGCAACAACGGCAATTTAAAAAATATCACTCAACTGGACACTATCCAACAACCTTAACAAATTTGTATTTGATCACGTTATCTTCATTATATTATTAATGTTTTTCTATTTGTAGAGGAGTGAATCGATGATCTATTTTTCATCTAGTAGCTCATATATTCATATCCTTCTTCGGTAATTTCTGTTTGAGCAGTCAGGTCGTATCATTAACCCTCAAGCAAATAGTGTGACTCAAAGGAGAACTCATAAACACGAACGAAGTCACCGAGTTCATTAAATTAAATTTATGTTTGACAAGTAGATTCATCTAAATCTTATTTTAACTGTTCTTCATTAAACTCTTCAGTTCACGGTTTTGTTTTATTGGCATTACTTTACTTGTTAAGAAAGTCAAATAATTTGTAATAAAAAGCTAAGTAGTCTTTTGAAATCTCATTAATTTATTCTTTTCTTCATTTAACGCTTCTCAGTCAGATTAAACATGTACATTGACATTCGATATTAAAGCTAAACTGTATTAGTTTCACACAATCCAAATGGTATAGGTTTGATGAAAACAAACTGTCAAACTAGTTTACTTATTCAGTTACAGACTATTTAGTCATAGTTTTAAATCACTTTCTATCCACTTCTGTACTGACAATCGAGTAGTACATCTAGCTGAATGCGTTAACCTGGACTTATTGAGTTACTAATAAAACTAATAAAGAGCCTTACATTCTTAAGTAGTTTCGATTAACAAAAAAAAGCATTATTTCTTTAAAATAAAAATGCATCATTTAAAGAACCTAATTAATGTTACATTAAAAATAATACATACTTAATATAGAAGTATCTTAAAGCAGTATTTGAGAAAAATTTACTGTATCCTTTCCGTTTTATAAATAATGTATGCTATAAGTAGTTAGAAAATTATCGGATAAACTTTAAAGAGTACTTCTTTGATTTGACTGTTGTTAATATTAGTCTCAGCCACAATATGTGTGAATAAATTCTCATTTGTTTATACACTAGGTGAAAGGTTCAGACTAATTGACAAGCAGATTTATTTGGTTACAATTTAATAAATAAAAAATATTATTATTATTTAACGTGTAGTTTAAATAAAAGGGAATTTAAAAGAAATAAATAAAGTTTCAATGACATGATAGAATAATTATTCTGTGACAATCGGTCTTGGGAGGCAAAATCCGACTCACACGTCCGCGTCGTGCCTCCTGGATAATTAGACGAATGACTCATGAACTAACGTGAGCGGTAACCCAGGTGGTGGAGATTGGGCTAATCACCCACAGATATACATAGAACAATTACATTTGAAATAGAAAACGACAAAAAATTTTTCGAAAGTGGTGCATGTATCATATGGAGTTGCTCGTCATTGAGCAAACTCCAAAGGATTGCAGAAACAAGTAATCTAGCCCAGGTAGTTGTGCCGTGCTTTGATGTGGCCTGTTTCTCTCCAGAAGGGCCTACTAGGCTTCACCGACTTGTTTAGCTGGAAGGGGGGAGGAGGACAATCGGTCTTAATAAGTAATTTTGGCATGAAACTTCTAGGCTGATTATCTGAAAACAATTTAACAATTTATATTATTCTATAATTTAGGAATCCCATAAAAGAACCATATAAGAACCCCGGTATTAAGACAAAAGAATAATCTCGCCAGTGATCCATTTGTACTATTTCTTTTTGAAAATCTACCTCTTCAAAAAATAAAATGATGTAAAAGCTTACAGAAATTTGTAATCATAGAAACATATGATGACAATCTGAAACTGTTAAAATAATTTTTTGTACATTATCTCATTCATCAAGTAAACATTTATGTACTTGGCTTCAAACAACACTTTTGGTGTAGTCTTGCGATATTAGGCAATCACTTGAATCGATTTGAGTAAAATAGTAATAAAATATGTAAGCTACTGATTTAAAGATCAGTAAGTCTCATTTATTTGAAACTAGGATAATTTAACAAACTTCCCTCAATAAACTAAATATTAATATCAAATTTGGTCAGGACAATATTACTGCTTCACGGGAACTAAATTAACAAAGATATTGAGGTACTTATGTTAAAGTATTATTTCGCCAATAAAAAGGATGTTAATTTACGTACATTTTAACGAAGTACAAGGATATTAACTATAAAAATGTAAGTGTATAGAACCAATCTAGTGAATGACAAAAATATATTTATACATAACTTACAAAATATGAAAACGACTTATTTTCTTCTGTTATATTATCAATATTTTGTGGATAACCAACTGAAGCTTTCATTGAATCCACCTGATAGTTGAATTTTGGAAAAATATCTAAATAAATTTTACTGAAATTAATTTTTATCATACCTTTTCAATTGCTTTAAGCTTATCAGCTTCTTGCATCCATTCGACACTAGCGAAATTCTCTTTAAATGCCGTCTTAATTTCAGTTATCATTTCTGTAGCCTAAATTTTAAAATTAAATAATGACAATAAATTCCATTGCTGATATAGTGAACATGTTATTAGTACAATATAAAAGTTCAGATTCCCCTATTTTAGTATAACTATCATAATGTGACTAAAATACTGTTTTGGATTTCACTCCTAAATAAACTTCATCGAGACTATCACACAAGTTCATAGATCATTGAATTAAGTTTCGTACAAACATTCATGTCAAGGAATCTAAAATCTTAAGAGCCATCAAGTTATTTACTTAGAGTAAAAAACTTGAAAAGACATCAATTACTTACTAAATAAAAATACAAACATCTTAACCTGAAGTAGTATTCAACACTGAGATAAAAGTTATAAATTTATCATCCACAGATTATTGCGATATGATCATTTTACCAACAATTCTAGGTCAGTAAGTTTTAAAACAGTCTCATATTGAGTTCATGAGCCAATTAAAGCTAGACCACCATGGAAAACCTGGGAGCACTGGACGGCCGTTTCATCCTGTTATGGGACCTCTCAGTAGTGCGCCTTCACGACTCTGCGCTTGGGATTCAAACCCAGGACCTCCGGTCTTGCGTGCGAGCGCCCAACGACTAGACCACTGAGCAGGCATCCAACAGTGTTAATGTCAAACTTTAACCACTCCATGAAATTGTGACACCGTTCACCATTGTCTTCAGTGAGTTACCATCCCACAACAAACCCGGTTTAACTCCACTGGTCGCTGCTTCTCACTAGAACTCCAGGAAATATCTCTTGAAGCCAGTCACTACTGAGCACATGATGAATGTTGTCAGAAAGGGGTTTTGTGGAGATTGTAGTAACTGAATAGTTGAGTTCATGGGTCGATTAAAGCTAGACCTCCAAACCATCATAATATACCTGGTATACACTTTTAACTTACTGATAAGGTAGCGATTAATATCGTTCAACAGTACAAACATTTTGAATCTTGTTACTAACTAAACAACGACATTACAACTAATAACACAGAAAATTTGTGTTATAATTAACTTACCGCTTCCTTACTTTTCTGATTAAATCTTTCGTGAACAAAATGTCTACCAATTACCATTCCGAATGGAACTTGTACTTCGTTAACGCACATCTGCCAGCGATCCGGATCAACTTTCAATCCTGAGGGCAGATATAAAACAGTGCAAAATATATTATTCTAGATGTTATTCTGCTGTTGGATTTGACGATTTACAGATAAATGAAAGGAATTTTGTTTGAGCCTCTATCATTTGAAGTGTATGAAAATAATGTCTAAAGAACTAGGATCTGTAAATTTATCCGTTAATAAACTGACAATCCACTCTAAGTTATGGACTATCATAGAGAAAACAGACAAATTGGATTTCTAAACATGATGAAAAATCTTTTCTACCATATTGAGTTCAAATAAGAGGGTATGGGGTTGTGGATATTGCTGGAGTTAAATGCCAACACCGTTTGATGCCAGCCTAGTGGTTTGGAAGTGAAGCATTCTTGAGTGATATCGATGGTCCTGAGTTCGGTTGCCCTGAGAGGGCTCGTGGATGTACATTGCTGAGGAGTACTACACCAGGACGAAACTGTCGTCCAGTGTTCCCAGGTTTCCAGTGGTTGTATAACCTAAATGGGGTCATGTTTTCAACAAAATGAGATAATAATCAGGCTTTATTCAAATATACAGTAATATTTAAATGCATATATACTAACAATACAAAACTAATCAAGACTATTTGTGAGTCAGTCGTAAAAAATGAAAAAATATTGCACAACTTTTTATAGTAAGTAAAAAGTATGTAACAGTCACAGTAGTAAATATAGGAATAACAAATAGCATGAAAACAAACAAATATACTGATAAAGGAAGTAGGTCAAAGCTAGAAAAATAAGGCTATTAAAGTAATCACGATTAAAAATTACGTAATTAAAAGTGTGTGGATAGTAGTAAAGACAACATCATAAGTTAGACAAAAGAGGAGTGCTGGTTTGAATGAACTAAACAGATTATGTGGATGGAATAAAATCAATATTGAACAACACTACTAAATTACTAATCTTAGCAAAAGTCAGTATGCAAATATGGAGGCAGAGAAACCATTAATTAATTCCTTTGAAGAACTGAACTTAAAATAAGTAACTACTGTAACTATTCATTATATATATTCTAGTGCGAGACTAAGGGTTTTGCGTTTGATTCCAGGCTGCATGTTCATGAATACACAGCCTTGTGAAACTCCATACTAGGATGTAGCGGTCGTCCAGCAGTTCAACGCTTAGAATGGTTGTCTAACTTGGATCTGTTTATGGTTTCAGTGAAAAGAACATTATTATTCACTTATATGTGCTGCTTTAAATTACGATTTGGGAAATTTTATTATGATAAAGATTTATACTAAGGTTTCTAATCATGCTTCCTGAAAATTACCACCAAATCTGGTATTCTTCACATATGCACTTTTAAGTGAACTAGTAGACATAAAGTCATAATCAGCATGGTAGAAATTTTGGTTGAACTACATCAGTCTTGCAAATTTATATCATTACCTGATCTGTTACACCATAGACAGCTTTTTCCTTGATTTGTAGCACTTTATTTAGCATTTTCTGTTTTCAAATCCTACATGAATTCACTTTAAAGACGAAAGCAAATGTGTCAAATAATTTATTCAGTGTGAAAGTATGACAAATATCAAAAACGCCTCATGTTTGAAATAAAATTAAACAATAATCTGTACTGACAATGGTTTTTTGATTACTTTTTAATTAAAAAGAAAACAAACATCAACGTTATCTACCTAGTTCTGCTTCTCTGTATTCTTCCAACATTTCATTAACTTCTTTTGGCATACGTGGGACTGTTCTCCACATTAAATGCCATACAGCAGTATTGTGTAAAGTTCTATATAACAATTTAAGTGGAATATATATTATTTATAATTACTCATTTCATAAAGACTAGGTTTCAAATTTTCTATAATATGTTTGGTTAAATGTCTATAATTATCAATCAGTTCTTGTTTGACTGTAAACACTTACTTAATTTTACTATCAAAAATGATCATATCACAATTACTATCATGAACAATATACTTACTCGAAAAGTATAACTTATTGACCAAACTTCTGATAAAATTTTATTATACTAATAAGATATTTAAGTTTTGTTGTCGATTAAAAAAAGTACTTCAGATGAAGTCATAGAAAAATTACTTTCAAACTTTAAAGGACGTTCTTTTTATTTTATTCAAAACATTTTTTATCCTGAGTTAAAATGTTGGAAATCCTAAGGAGTTATATTTTCTGCTGCTTTGTGGTCTCATATTTATCTTCATAAAACACCCACATAATCATTTTGCTTTTCAGGAGAAAATTAAACGGGAAGAAGCTACATCTAGTGAATAGGCAGGGTGATTTGGTGTGGTGGTTGAATTGCACTTAAGTTTTTTTAGAACATTATTTAATTGAATTCATTTCGCGTATGTAACAAAGAGACTGAGAAAGTTAAAAATATCATTGAATGATGTCCCATAATAGGACGAAACGGCCATCCAGTGCTTCCAGGTTTTTCATGGTGGTCTAGGTTTAACTGACTCATGATCTCAACTATTAAAAGTAAATTATAAGTTATAAACTGATTCAACGTAATCGGTTGATTATTATTATTACTAATAACCCAGTTTACATACTTATTTGATATATCTTACGTAATTCATTAAAATTAGGCAATTCAACAAATTACACATGGTTAACTTAAATCATCAACAAGAAATTTATTCAAGATATTTAATTAAGCTATAAAATAATTAATCTCAATCACAACCAACGGATAACAAATCTTTCTTTCCTATTTTAATAATATCTTTGGTAAACATACCGAATACCGTCCTCTGTTTTCAAATATTCTTCATATAAAGCACATCGTTCTCTGAAGAATGTACGATCATGTAATGCGATCACTTGATCTTGAGAAAGCTTGAAGTTTAGTGGTGCATATATATAGTCAAATAATTTCGTCCAATTAAGCTATTGAATAATGAAAGTGTAAAGAAATTTGAAGACAAATCGTATAGCCATCATTCTCAATTAGTGAGATACTATGATCAAGGTAAATTAATTTGAGTACGTTAGACGATGATTGATCAGTTGTACGCTAATTTTAGCAAATTCTAGGTCTATGTGTTGAATAGCAAAGTTTATTTATTATAGTTTTCCATGGACTCATGTATATCTACATGTTATCTTTGGAAATTATTTAATGGAAATATTTTCACTACGCCCAATGGTCTGGGAAATTTTAGGAGACTAAATTAAACGCCTTCAGATAGATTACTGTAAAATAGGTACTACTTTAATTAAATATTTTCCAATCAGATTTTTATCTATTAAAACTCTATTGTAAATGACATTTTTGATAAACACACAATTTAGGTGATAAAAAGTCACCATTATTTTCATTCTCTTAATCTGGATGCAATATTGACGAAAGAAATTTACTGCAAGCGCTTATATACTTGCCATGTCCAGTCACATAATCTATATGAAATGGAAGATAAGGTCTAAGTAATAATAACTTCTCTTCAACCAGAGAACTTCATGGTTTATCAACATATCTCATTCACCCACAAAAAAATTCTGTATTAAATTCTAGGTTATTTCAATAGGATATGGTTTGTATTATCACATCAAAATAGAATACTTGACTTAAATTTATCTAAAGGATTGTAAAAATGTAGATAGATGTGACAGGAGGATAAACCTCAGACTACGATAATAAAAATGCACTAACTAATAAACAATCAGGTGAGACTATAACTCATAGACGACATTTGGACGATGCTTAAGAGACCTTGGGACTGCCTACCTAATAATCATAACCAAATGAGGGTTATAAACCAATGGGAGGAAATAGAATTATGATTTGCAGTTGATGGTCAAGGATAGGAATTAGATTTAGGGTTTTCATCACGAACTGACATCAGCTATAATGTCAAAACTCCATTCTGCCAACTGGATGAATGAATTTCGCGTCAAAATCCTGGACCTCTTATCTTATACCCGATTGGTTCGTCCATAAATTGTAGTCTCGCCAGCAATCATTATATTACTAAAATGCTCGAATCTAAGAAAATTATTTCCAGGGAGATATTGACAACAAACATATAAGATATCCAATTTATAGCTACATTTCCATAAACAACTGTACAAAAAATATTATTTTTTCACCCTGTATAAATTAGATCACAGAATTAGATTTCGTTTCACTATCTTTAATATTTACATAAACTGAGTATAATATGGATTAACTCATATATAATTAAAACTGACCACAGGACAAATAGAAGATAAATTTTGTAGAGTAACAAGTTCGTAGTTTTTCTCCGGGTCTCTTTCGCTACGGTCTTCAGTTCTCTGTTAAGATAAGTAAATTAGGAAAAACAATTAATTGTAATGTAAATTTACGAAATACTTACAGGATACGCTTGATCATTTTTTTATGTAGGACAGTAGATTTTTATGGCTTCACCACGATATTAACGAAAACCCCTGTTCATTATTTGATGTAGTGAGCATATCTGGCTTAATTATTGGATAATATCACTGAAAATTCCATAAACTAAATGCATATTAGCAATCAGAGAGTTTTGAGTTACATTGACTGAAGAAATTTAAATCATAGCTGGACACTTCGGAAATAGTGGAAGGAGTTATTTATTTGTTTCTTGTTTATTTTAATCGTTTCGAAAAGATTATGTACTCGATATAATGAAGAAAACTTCTGTAATAATGTTAATTTATAAACACACAAGATTTGTGCTGCAAATGATTAGGAATGTATAATCTCTTTTCATCAACTGTTCAACACAAACAGAATGTCATTTAGGACGACATAAGATTGGTAATTTCACCGTCCCGTCAAAACTTAATCAACAGTGCGACAACATGGATTAAAGAAAATATCTAGACTTCTGAGCTTGATAAACTGTCAAAAGGTACGTATAATTCATGGTGTACTATAGAAAAAGAAATCTTGCTTAGAAAAGTAAATCACCTTTAGATTATGTAAGATAGTTCGAAAACCTAATATAAATTATTGTCAATGTATAACAAAAATTATCTTAGAATCAAGCTCATCTCTACAAAAGAACTACTTAAACGAACAGTTAATAAAAAGTTTGGAATCAAGTCGAAATCACATCTATTTAATCATTCTTTAAGACAGATATTTGACATGTTGGAAAACATATGGTATTGTTATCATTTATACGATTCAAATAGTTCAACTTGAGATATTCACCCCGAGTTAATAATTTTATGTAATAAAATGTAGGAAAATTAAAATAGATGAACTCAAAGAGCAATATAAAGGGAGTATTATGCCTTATCTAGAGCATATACGATGAGACGAAAATTTTTTTCAGCAGAACCAACTGAAAACATATGTAGTTGAAACGTATGACTGCATTCCGAAATAATTTATGTCCCCTTACATTTTCAGATAATCTTCTAAACTATGTTCTAATAAACAAGACACTGATGTAGAAATTTCTCATGATTACTTCAAAAGCAAATATTGCCAAAAAATATTCAGTCTTAGCACTAAATCGTTTAATTATAAATTTCTTAATGACCTTAGGTGCTACTGTAGACAACAATATTAACCACATAGCAAATAGACTCTAATCGATTTGTATTCACTGGAACAAACAAGCAACAACCATAAAATATTCTTACTATAAGTAAAACAACAAAAAACTTAAAAAGCACTTACCAATGCAATCTGTTTTTCGAATTCATAAATTTTATCTACTTCATGTAACGACGAGTTTGGCACTCCTAACAAGAGGGAATAATTCCGCATAAATCGACGAAATGCTTCAGTTTTCTAAAGGAACAAAATGTATACAAAAGAGCCAACGTTTAATTTCATAGATTTAATAGTGTTTATATATTAAATATCAAGAAAATTCATGACAATAGTACCAATGTGTAGTGTACATTGATACGATGCTTGAAGTAAATGATAACTACTTCGGACATTACAACCCGCTTTGTTTATCTTTATAATATATTGAAAATCTCTTCCTGTTTAGACTTGTTTATTTGATCACTATCAGAGTACTTTTTGAACATAATTGGAGATTTCCATTTCAATAATTAAGACCATCACTTATGGTTATTTTGCTACATATGTTTAATTCTCTTTATATTCGGCAGATAGAAAACATTTATATAGAAGCAGTATATCACAGAACAAAATGATATTCATCTGAAGAATGTTCTCTCATTATAGCTGATGAACTTCCATGGAAATATTCCTTTTCTTAACTCTACTCCTTTTGTCCAAATTATCTCTAGAAGTTCTCAAAAGTCAGGTTCTTCAGCTGATTCATCATTCCAAACTTTGATAAAATCGTATGTACAAACGGTTTTCGCAGTAGCTTTTCAAAGTTAGTCACCTAACTAGCAAGGCGATGTTTAAAAAAAACAGGGGTCAACATACTTTAGAGATTTTAGTCAATAAGGAATACTGATTGTAGTTGTATCCTTATGAAAATCCTGCTCGCACTAAAACCGTTAATCCATTTTAAAAGAGTTGCATTCTTCAACATGACATATGTGCCTAAACGGAGCTAATTGTTTCATAAAACCTCTAAGGGATTAACAATAGGCCATACCCAATGATCTTAACAACTTGGTTTCCATATCTATTAGATAGATCATATATTTACTCACAACAATATGTCAAAATGACACATTGACAATGAAATTTTATGCTACAATGTATAAAAATGAACAGTTTAACTGTCCTATCAAGATGAATTGTAAGAAATATTTGCTGAAGTATAAGATGAATCATTTCACACTAATCTAAGGAATTCAAATAATCTATGTCATTGTGTATAATACAACATATGGAAGAACAATTCTAAGTATCACTATACAAAAATACATCCTTCAGCAAGACCACATAATCATATGTGTTAAACAGTCATTGTAAACAAAAAAATTCTAGAACAAATTTCTTATAAACCCACATTCGTAAATTGTTCTATAATCTGAAGTATAGTAAATTAGTTACTTCATTAATACTGGACACATATTTATTTATACTAATGTAAGGTAATTAGAAAACACAAACTCACTTTTGAATAAGCTGGATACGAATCGTTTACATAATATTCTCTTTGTAAACTAAGATATCCTTCTGTAAGCTTGAAAATAAAATAACATACTTATTATTTATCACACTATACATCTAATTTGAATTATGATATGGTGAGAAAACTTTCGTTGAACATTTCAAAGCTTATAAATTATAATAAGTAACTACTTTAGAAGTTTTGATTTGTTGCCAACTATTTCTTTTGTATATCGTCAAACTAACTATGTAGTATGATAAATGTTTTTTTGATAAGATATGTAGGTATTTGGATTGATGTCAACAGAAGAACAATGGTAAGCTAGAGGATACTTAACAACTGTTTCGTCCTTGTTTCAAACTATTTAGCAATACAATCTCAAGATATCACACAAAAAATATATTCGATCTCACGACTAGAATAACATTCTTTGAGAAATATTCACAAACTAGTTTTAATGATGTTTGAGGTAAGTACCAAACATTATTGCAAATAAATTGTTTTCCCATAAATCGTCATCAAATTTTTAAAAAAAAAACGTATTCTGTTTCTTTATAGTTTTATCATGATAGATTTCGAATGTTTTCACTTCTTACTTAATACTTCAGATATCTGTATTGTCCTTTATATTGAACATTAGACCCCCCACAATTTATTGGGCTAAAATCATATTGAAACATTGAGCGGCTAAGCAATATATCTTTGTAAATTGCATCTGATCCAAAATATATCGAATAACAGCATCAGTTCAGTCAGTGTCCCATATTTTATGTTGCATAAATGTGAAAGTATGATCAAATATCGTAGTGTTAGTTAAGGAAGTTAAAAGTGATCCTTCTGCTGGATAGAATCTAGGTTTCATCAAGAAAATGTTAGCTACAATTTTTCACTACTATAGCTTAACAAAGATGAATACAGTACACGATACCAAGTTTAGTTATGGCGTCCATCTGAGTTCCAAAATGAACTAATTACAATAATCAACTGTTCATAAAGACAATAATTAACCTATGCCTCAATAAAAGCATATAGAAATTCTACTTACATCTATTACAAATCGAGAGGAGTTCATCTGATCTTGTCCAACTAAAATACGGGATAATGGTGTTGCACCTAAATACTTCAACAGAGGTAAATACATATCTGTTAAATCAAATGTGCCAGGACGAAAAAGATTAGCATTTTGTTCCCCGGCTGCTGGATTCCCAATCGGAAGTAATAACCAACCATTAAATATTTTTTTAATATAATCATAAAGAGGTGTCAATCTTCGACTTTCAATAACAGATTCATTCATACATGAATTATAGTATATTTGTGCCAAAGTGAAACCACGACTAGTGTCTGTATGCGAACGATTTTCTATAAAACATATAATAAGGAATAATTATCATATGGATAAGAAACATAATATTAAATAATACAATGACCAACTGATCAAGTTTTTTATCATCACAACAAATAGATCGTCCAAAACTTTATGATTAAACTGAATCAATGTTAGGAATGGTAGGAAACTCAAGCAAGTATGATGAATGCAATTAATCGCTACTGAAAGCTGAATCACTAATGACGAATAATGTTAGAAGGCAGAACAACATGCTATATGTTCTAATATTTAATTAACGGAATAATGATTTGAACCCAAGACGAAATCTGATATCAGAATCGCTCTGAATTGACTTTTTGATAACTTGAAGGTCCTTAGCTGGTACACATAGCTCATTAAATAAATAACTTTCAGTACAACTAAATGACTAAATACAGCCTATGTTATCTTATCTCCAAACGTTTACTCAAGTAAAATGAGTTTTCAAATTTGTTTGTAGCAGTGACCATGTACAAAGAAAAACTAAATAAAGCTATTATAAATTTTTTGAGAATCCTTCATTCACAGTTTCCTGAATAAAATGATTTAGAATACCTTTTACTTACCAAGTAGTTCTTTGGTAAAATGCTCGTCATATTTGGATAGTTTACGCATTACAGACCAAGAATTATGACCTTGTGGTATATAATTATGCTTTATCCACCCATTGCAGGAATATGCAAAGAAATCATCACAAGGTGATACACTTGTATCCATATTGCTAAGAATTTCTGCAGCAACTTTGATACATGTAGGTTCTAAACAAGGGTTATCTGTAAATAGCAGAAAAAAGTCAGTTATCACTTTGATATAATAAAGACTATTATTTGGATAGTTAACGTATTAAGAGACAACATTATACAGATAAGTTAAGTGTTTCTTCTCAATACAAGTTATTTTCTCATGTAAGCTACCTACTAGGTATTGATGATGATAACTTAGCTAAACATGAGAAATCTCAAAAATGATAATAGAAGAAAAGCATCTAGCAATTTGAATTATATCGGCTAATGTGCCTCGATGTATATTGAGTGAGAAACTCGAGAGCTTCAAAGATGTAAGTCTATTCTTTTGTCAATAAAATTTATTAGAATGGATAACTTAATGATTAAAATCAATAATTTATCCAGTTGTTTACTACCTGGTATTTGCAGATTCAAAAATGTGCATTCGAACTATAAACTGTTTAAAGTGTTTACTTCTCGGCCAGATAGATAAATAAGCTAGTCCCCCATACAGTACTAGGCTAACAAACAAACCTACATTTAGGCAATATCACAACATGGCACTAGTCTTATAAATCAGTCAATGACTACTAATCATAGTTATTTGAAAAGGTACACAGTTTTTGAATAGATTCTTTGTAATCAAATAATCGGTAATTGGAGATCCAAAAGGATATAACTTAAAATTTGTAACAGTAAACTAGATTCATTTATGCGTCAGTTTTCCTTGAAAATTTAGAATATGATGCTAGTCTTCTGAATTTATTTTTTTCCCAAGTCGTTTCTTCTGTTTTTTGAGTTTGCTCTTACATAAGGGTAGTAAAGTATATCGGTAATAATAGTAATAATAATAATAATAGTAAAAATTACACAGGCTTTATTCAATACTATTGTTATTATCAAACTGCATCGGCTTTCATACAGCAAGTCACAAGCGTAAAATCGCGATAACCTAAAAGATGAAAGTTTTTTCAAATTTTTAATCCTCTTTTTTTCTGTAAATAACTCTTTAAAAAGTGAAAACGTTTCAAGCGGTATTTTCTATAATTAAGAATTAAGTTGTTAAAGCTTAGCACATAGGTTAAAATGACTGGGTAGAATTTATAACCTGAATATTGTAATATAGAAAATATAACTACCTAGTGAATTATTATTCCTTTAAGTTGTGAACATGAAACAATGCTTAATATTTCATTAACAACTAACTTGGTCAACAGTCTTCTGATAATGACTTTTTTATAATAAGTAAATCAACTAAAATAAATGGATACATCTTTTAAATGTATAAATTACTGTTCAAGATAAGACGTAGCAATGTAATTAATACCTTTGATTGTAATCATAAAACAATATGAATTTCAAACCAACACTTAGTATAACTCTTTACACTATCAAATCAATTTCAAACGGTAGACATTAAACAGAAACCCTAGAGTATTACATTGTTTTTTTGACTCTGTAATGATTGAACTTAAAGTATATCGTGAAGAAACTTCAAAAGTATCAACATGAAACTTTTAAATACTTTAGTTAACATCATTAAGTCTGGATCTAATGCATTTCTTCACTCATAACACATGGAATATTTTATAAGATGAAAACTATGAAGATACATTTAATGACTATTTCAGGGTTTTATTACCGATTTATGATTAATTTGTGTCATTGAAAGTTATTCGTTAAGATTATCAATATGAATATAAACAAAGCGCATTTAAAACTGTCAATTGAAACGGGATAGATCGTCAATATAAAAAATCTCCGGTATTTATTTGCATAATTTTACTTCAGTGTTAAGAAATAACAAAAAAAATGGGTTCATAAACGGATGGAATTGCCGTTGTTCATTTTATCAACTTCCATTTTACAGAATAAACATATTTAACCAATAATTTGAAATTTTAGATTCCACTTAATTCAGTTAAACAGAAATATTGGCTAGTTTGATTAATTTTACGATTGTTCATTGTTAATAGTTATGATCCCTTCATTATGTGACAGTCAAGTTTTTCCAAAAACTTTAAAGCTGTGCACTTGTTTAACAATTATAAAGTTAGAAGCTTTAGTGAGTTTTAGGCTACATCTTGTTTGCACTTCCATGGTATAGGTAGTAGAATTGTCGGTGAAATTATAATTTATAAACGAACCAATCAGGTTTAGGATAACAGGTCTTAGGTTTTAGCGTGAAATTCATTCATTCATTTGGTAAAAGAGCGTTTTGGGATTTTAGCTGATGTCAGTTAGTGATGAAAACAATTCCTAACCCTAACCATCAATTATAAATCAATAATCCATATTCTTTATACGGGTTTATAATTCTCATTTAGCCCTGGTGAGTAGGTGGACATTCTCAAGGCCACTTTAATGTTGCTAAAAGGTCGTTCATAAATTATAGTCTCACCGAATTGTCTAATCAATAGAATTAATAGTGTTAATCTGCAGAACCGATTTTTAAAAACTACATTGTTGCATAAGTTACCTAAGTCAAAACCATCTAAAATCATTCTCTCAAATAATGCCTTTTTTCTCATACATAGTGATATAATTTATCACAAATCACGTCGTTAATATTTAATTTTGTTGTTCCAAGAAATTCAATTACAAACATGTGATATGTTTTTTAAATCTTCCTTAAAGGATTCAATCGGATTTTGTTATGTTAAGACTTTTGAATAGAAATAATTTTATGTTTGCTTGTTTTGCAAAATTACATTCCTCTTAACGTTAGACAATCCATAGTAAGAAGTACAGAGTCATTTAGAAACACCGTTAGATGTCGAAAATATATCTTTCTGTGACAAATTGTAAATGTATCAAGATATTTCTAATGAAATAAAATGATTAAAATGAATGTATTGAGATACGATTAAAAGCAGTCACCATTATATAATATTAAAAATCTTTCAGCGTAGCAAATTATATTTCTTGGTTCTGTCGCGTACGCCGAAAACATACGAAAAAAATGGCTCAATGATACTATAACTATATATTTTAAAAAATAGACTTGTCACTAATAGTAGAAGATTTAGCATCAATATGCGTCGGCCTGTGTAGTAGTATTAATAGATATAAAGTAATAAGCGTGAGAAATATGGTTCACAAAGAAGAAAACGAAAAATGAGAAGTAAGTGAAAATTCTATGTTCACTATTTCAGTAAAGGTAAAAAATCAGCTGAATGTGTCTGGGTGATGAAGGAAACTTCAAGGTCATTACTTATGAGTATTTCAACTATGATGTATACACCTACTAACATGCCGAAAATAAGGAGATCATGTGAAATGCGTTTCTGAGCACTTTCTAGAGAAAAATGTGAATTAGAGTTGTCAAAGTCTGTAACAGTATGATCGTGCATCATTTAATGAATGCTAGTCATGAAAAATAATCGTCAGATAAACTAATGCAAAGTCACAGTGTTTTACTTACTTAAAAAAAACCTAAAACATATCCATGAAATCAGGAGAAAATAATTGTGAAATTACCGCTCCCATAAATAATTTAAGTTTTTTTGTTTACTCATTAGCAAACTTATTTAATACCCCAGTCATCTTGAATATGTGGATCGATTGAAGTTAAATTTTAAAAACCGTTGAATGTCGACTGATTGATCTAGAGGTTAAGCATACGCGCGAGACCGAATGTCCTGGGTTTGCACCTTACGTGAAGGGTTATGGATGCACACTGTTGAGAACTTCTATGCTAGGTAAAAATGGTCACCCAGTGTCCCCAGGTTTTTGGTGGTAGTCTGACTTAGATCACCTGTTGGTTTCAATGAAAAATCTCGAGTACTTCTGCTCTCATCCTAAGTTTTTTCTGAACCTGTGTAAATTGTTCACTATCTTCAACGATTTATTACGTAATCTGTAGTGTTACCTTGTTGCCCATTTTCAAAGTCTTTTCAAAATGTTCTATACATATACATAAATTCAGTGATATCCTATATTATATTTTAAGTATTCAATGTAAACTTGTTTGATAATGAAACACTTTGTTATTCTTTAACATAATCAATATATTTTATCAGTTCAATTAAGAAAATAAGCAGCTGACAACAATCTACAAAATAAATTGGATTTATTACAATTTAGCCATATCTACTATTCTTCCATTACAATGCAAACCTATAATTAAAATGTAGAAAATTTATATCCTATTTCTAAATACTATACAGGTCTTTAAGCAAAATATTGTTATTTAGCCTAATGGTTTGCGGCAATATGTTCAAGTTAAAAATTATCTTCATCACAAACTGATATCGTCCGAAAATAGAATTTTATAATTTGGGAGGATTGAAAAATTTTTTTTACGACAATGAGACTTTCGGGCAGTTAATGTTAATCTGAAGAGAAATTTATCCTCATAAAGTTATTGTTACTTTCATTGAATGTGAAATATAAAAAAACCTAGAATTAAGTATATTGTTTAGATTTAATGAGCTGTTTCCTTATAATAACTAAAAAAACTAACTGCGGTTCTATTATTTCTTCATTGATTAACGCACATATAAACAGTATTACTTCTTAAATATATGAGTATTTTACTACAGTGGAGGTGAACTACCAAACCGTGTCATTTTCGTGTTTATGGCCCCCCGTATGAACATAGAACGCTCATACAACACGTTAGACTAACACATAGTCCAACTGGTTACATAGAAGTAACTAATTCCTAAATATTGGTAATACTTAGTAAAACCACATTCACATATTAGTGGTGGACATAAAACGCTCCTTTGAAGTACTTAGCATGAGTAGAACCTTATAAGATATCATACATTGCTGATGACGAGTATTAACCTAGGACGGAAGATATATTCAGTAGATTCCAGCTGCCTATAATTCTACAACTGATCCCAAAAGGCAATACAAAGACTTTTTCAAATCAAAACACTCTTCAAATATACTACAAGGAAAATTTTCATATTATGAAAACCAGTCCAGATTAAAACGTTTCTTCGAGGTGAGCTTAATTAGGAATCCCTTAACAGTTGTTAATGGTCCATATAAGCACTTATTTAAACCCATTAATGCGGTATGAAATAGAATTATAA